GGAATAAGGATGCAGTAGGGGCTGGGAGGGCTGGAGGAGGAGAGGGTGCAAGACAGGAGAACAGGCAGGTACCGCCCTAGCAGCTAGGTGTTGTGCAGAGAGAATGGGGGTGAGTGAGCCCTGGGGTCCCCGCAGGCGCTGGAGCAGGGCAGGCTGAGCAGGGCCGGGCAGGAAAGATGTTCTCCGCACTAGTCTATGTGACTGTCATCGCCCCTCTGGGTGGGGGCCAGAAACGCCTTTGCCCAGCTACTCCTGCCTGGTGGAGACCCCTACTCTCCTGCCTGGTTCCCTGGGACCTCAGCACCCCCACAGTTGTCTGCTCTATCCCAATTTTATTATCCTTTACTCCCCTGAAGGCAGGTGTGTGTATTTTTTGGTTAAGATGGAATGTCTCCTATTTTTCTTCTGTGACTGTCACTCACGCTATCATCTTGCTTGTCTGTGACATAAGATCTTACAAATTTGTGGTTCGGGTATTAAAAGGCTATTGTACAAACATCTTCTGATTGGCTCACATAAGATCCCACAAGGTGAAAATGATCCATTTTGCCCCATTTTATAGTCAGGGCCTGCACACCGGCAAGCCTAACACATGAGGCCTGAGCATCAGCAAGTGCCAGGCTCCGGGGCTCCTGAGGATTGAAACCGTGTCCTGTCTTCCAGGCCAGCAAGTTCCCCGTTGGCTGACGTAAGCAAACCTGAGAATTCAGCACAGAGGACATTTGGACTTTCTCCTTTTTTGTCAAAGGGTCAAGCTGAGAGGCTAAAACTCCAAGCCCGGAATTTGGGCATGTAAGCCGGGCAGGCAGGGTGCAGGGTGGTGGCACTGACTAAATCACATTCACCAGGCAGCTCATCCTGGCACTGCCCGTGCCAGGGGATCCCATCTGCGACGTCGAGACAGCAGCGCGCTGCTGGCCCCTGCTTATGTCCCAGGCCGCCCCACCTCCGTTGGTAGGGGGCATTTGCCACCTGGACTCCAGCTTGTGTCCCAGGGTGAGGAGAACATAGACTAGAGCTCCAGACTACCCAGCAGGGGCCGAGGTGATGTTCCTCCGTCCTCTAGTCTGCGCTGCCTGACCCTCTCCAGGAGGATATTCTTAAAGCCGGTGCTCCCCATTTTGGAGATTACCCTGAGGCAGGCCCACCTTGGTCTCCCCACTTAGAATAGGGGCTCACATCCTCGAGACCCTCAGCACTGACAAGGTGGATACCTTGCTCAGCTCTGTTAGGTCCCCAAAGTTCCCTACAAAGAAAGCTGTGCCCACAAGTGCCCGCTGTCTTGGGGGTCACCAACAGTGGCATTTCCTTGCTAGCAAGGAGAGAAGCGTGCCCGGGAGCATGCTCTCTTTACCAGGCCAGACGGTGGCCACCCTCCAGGTGGGCTGAGCAGTATATGATCTGCACATCAGACTTTTAAGACTCATGTCTTTATTAAAGGCAGCAGAGGACACTTTGTATTAAAACCTTCCATCCACCATATCTGAAGACAGCAAGTGCTGGAGCTGGGAATCAGTGGGTGCTGCTCAGACCTGGAGAGACAGGATGAAGGGGCACAAGGAAGCACAAGCACAGCTGTATAGGTGCCAACACAGTCATCACGGCCAGCCCCCCTTCCCTGCACCCCTCAACCTGCTCCCACAGATGGTTCCAGAGCCAGGCCCTGCTTTAGACCAAAAACCCTATATGAAGTACACTGGAATTTACTGTCTGAGCTAGCACTCCCAACACAGTAGAAAGTTCCTATCCTCTCATAGGGATCTTCAGAAATCCCGCTGATGGGGTGACTGCACCAGGTGAAAGCCAATGCTATGGAGGCGTGGGAGCCATCCCAGCAGCAGGAAGCCCACGAAGAGGGAGGTTGGGAAGGAAAAGGCTAACCGTTCTGCTTCTCAGACAAGAGGGCCCTGACCTGCCTGTGTTTTGCTGCCGATCTCTGGTGTGACGAGGTTGGGGACCAATGACTTAGGACTGAGAGCTAGAGTTCAAGAATGACGAATGTCTTGTCCATGGTCTCTGACACTAGCTGTCCACTTCTAAGACTCTGAATGGCAGAGCAAAACCAGAGCTCTGAGGCCACCTGGACCAATGGGCCCATTTTATAGGCAGGGATGCACGGCCTTGAGAAGGGGCCTTTTCCTAGGCCACACTCATGCAGCAGGGCCGGGCTCCATGCTGCTTCATGGAGGGGCAGGCTGTCAGAGTCACGGTCCTAAAACTTAGTGGCATCTGAATCACCTGGAGGACCTGCTATAACAGCTCGCTGGCTCCAAGCCAGGTCCAGGGTAGAGGCATTCGGGGGTGCCAATGCCACACTACACACTGAACAGCACTGGACTAGAGGACACTCCTGGGGAGGGGCTGAGTGGCCAGTGCAGAGAGCAGAGGGCCTTGCCAGACAGGTGGTGGCCTGAGGACCAGAACAAAGCCTCGGGTAAGAAGAAGGCATTTCTGTGGCCAGGAGGAAGGAAGCAAGTGAGGAAGGGTCAGACTTTGGAAGCGGGGACAGGCATGGAGCCGCAGCCTCCGTCCCTGCAGATGCGATATCCTTTGGGGATGAAAATGTTCCCAAGGGAAAGGAAGAAAGCTGCCCTCTGGGCAGGCAGAGGTGGGGAGAACCCAAACTCATGAAGGGCAGTTTGGTTTGAAAGGCACTTCGGGTACCCGTGGGGCAGCTGGTGTTGAGGGCAGTGTCCACGGGCGCTGACGGCTGGTCTCCTGCAGGCAGTGGCCAGGGGTCAGGGAGGAGATGCAAGGACACCAAGGGTGGGGCAAGTCAGGTGGCTGGGCAAGATGGGGGCCACTCAGGGAGTCTAGAGGCCATGCCTTCTTCACCCAGGACCACTCTGGGGCTGGCTCCTGGAGGGGAGGGCTGGGGTATGGTGAGCTAACCCCCTGATTCTCCTGGGCCATGTGGGGATCAGGTGATCCCTGGAGGGTGACTGATCGGCCTTTTCTATGGGGAGGGGGGAGCTTCAGAGAAGGGTAATTTGGTCCCAGAGAATGAAAACTGATACTGGACCAAATGACAACCAAGGACCAGGTCCTGGGAATGCTGTGGTTGGTGGGGCCTGGCTCAGGGACCCCAGCCTTCTCTGGCCCCAGAAATCCCATCCAGCATTCCTGCCCTCAGCTCTGCTGGGAGGCCCTTTCTGTCAAGCTGTGGTTAGCGACAGGGCCAGGGATGCCTCCTGCCTGGGCCGAGGCCGGCCTTTCCAACAAGCCTTCAAAGTAGGTGCTCAGGGCCCTCAGGTTGAAAGCAGGCTGGGCGGGGGGCGTGGAGGTGACCTGGCTCAGGTAGCGGCTGTATTTCTTCAGGCCACCCTGAGGGTCCCTGCGGTGTGCCATCAGCAGCTCCAGAAAGCTCACATTGTGGAGGGCCAGGAGGCGGGCCTCAGCCCTGGGCAGGATGGCATCCCGCACCAGGGGCTGCAGGGACGCGAAGCACTGCAAGCTGCTGAAGGAGTAGACGTGCTGGGCCAGCTGGGGGCCCGGGGAGACCTCCAGCAGGCGACACAGGTCCCGCATGGTCAGCACGGCGGCCAGGGCGCTGCGCTCGCTCATGTTTCTCGCTAGGTAGGTTCTGGCCAGGCACTTGAGTTTGAAGCTGCTGGCCCCAGGCACGCGCTCCCGGATGAGAGGCAGGGCAGCCAGGAAGCCCGAGATGGCCTCCTGGAACTCCCACAGCCGGTTCATGTCCTCCAGGGCCCGGAAGAAGTTGGGGAGGCCGGGCCCCCACAACTTATAGCAGGCCAAGATGGGGCGGCGCATGGAGCCCAGGAAGCTGAGGAAGTGCTGCAGCCCCACCTCCAGAGAGACAGCCTTGGAGTAGATGCTGAAGGCCTCGCGCTTGATGAGCACTCGGAACTTGCTCTCTCGGTTCACGGCCGCCAACTGGCTAATCTTCTGGGCTGAGCAGGAGAGAAGCACAGGGTGAGGAGGCCCCAGCAGCCGAAGCCACTGGGAGGTGGGGGGAATAGGAGGACCTCTAGGGCTGCCCCCTCACCCTATACAGACCCACCTTGGGGTCCACTGGCAGGAACTAAACATCAGCCATCAAAGGAGGCTCTGACCCTTCCTTGCTCCCCTGCTGGGAAGCTAGCTAGCTCCCCTACCCGGCCACCTGCCTGAGTTCACCAAACCCTTTGGATCCAGGTCCCTCCTGTCTGTCTTCTATCTGCCTCACCCACTTGCCCTGAAGACCCCTCATTGTTTCCATCTCACTCTCCACTCCCTGCCCGACCTCCACTGCCATCAGCCACTTAGCCCCTTGGCTAGGTCACCAGCCCAGACAGCCCTGCCCAGTCAGCTCAGAGTGTGGCCCCGAGCCTCCCTGGGAGGTCTACCAATGCCTTCCAGGCTCGGGGGTGTCCACCACGTCCATGCCAAGGGGCAGGGCCCAGACCTGGGTCTTCTAGTTCAGGGCCAGCCCTGTGGGGAGTTGAAGGCCTTCTGGAAGAAGAGGTGGGATTTTGCTGGCCCCTGGTTCTGCCTACGTCCCCTTCAGCCCCCTGTGGGGTGGGCCCTGGACTCAGAAATGTGCACTCACTGCCTAAGGTCCAGTTGGGATTGCTGGGCTCCTGGCAGTGACTCCCAGATTATTTCTGTTCAGAAGTATGTTCCCAAGATTCTCTCTCTAAGGTGAACTTAGGGAGGCACTGGGCTCATGCCTCAGTTGCTGGCCAGGGCGGGCCACACCTGGATGTCCCCGGGAAAAGGTGGTACTCCCTGGCCAGATCACTTAGGGAGCTTGAAGGCCTCACAGATGGCCCTGCCTGCACTGATCTTGGGGACTCAAGAGAGTAAGCCCAAAACGGGTGGGGTTGGTCACCACAGAACCCACTTTCATTGTCAATCTTGAGGTCAAAGAAAACCAGGGGCCTGTCTTCTGCCTGGGGGTCAGCCAAGCTCTCATCCAGGACCCTGAGGGAACTGGGGCCCTCCAGCTGGAGGTCACTGGACTCGCTGCTGCTGTCATACAGTTCTTGGGTGGGCTGCAACACAGAAAAACAGACAGGTCAGCAGTCAGAGTGCCAGAGGGAGCACACTGGCCATGTGCGCAGATGCCGGAGAGCAGGTATTGTGGGCATGTGTGCCCGAATGTGGGAGCAGGGATGCAAGCAAGTCACAGCTGGGGCCCCTGCATGCACTTGAGAGTGAGCACATCACTGGGAAAGAGAACGTGTGTGCAAGAGATGTGTGAGCTGGGACAGATGTGAGCATGCATGTGCACGCATGAGGGTCGCGTGTGAACCAATGCACACGCAGGAACAGGTGCGAGGATGAGAGCATGTGGGCAAATGTGAATGAAAATGCAAGTGTGAAAATGAAAACCAATGTCAACTCTGTGTGTGTGTGTATGTGTGTGTGTGTGTGTGAGAATCTGCGAAGCCGTGTTGACACCAGTGTATGTGCAAATGCAAGAACCCATGAGCAAGTGTGGGCATGGGCGAGCGGTACTGACAGAGGCTCAGGCAAGAATCAGGTCATGGTGGGCAGGGCTGGAGGTGTCTGCTACTCAGGTAGCAGGTAGCTCAGGTAGCTCTTCTTTGAAAAGACTCAGAAGAAATATGAATCTGGGACAGGAGGGGGAGCCACATCCAGCAGCCCAGATGGTTCTCTAGAAGGGACCGGGAGCAGGGCTTTTCTAGTTGCTAAAGCCAAGTGAGGTCCCTATTGTCCTGCCCACCTCAAGAAAGCCACATCTAGGTGGACACAGCCTGGTAGGGGGAGCAGTGGGGAAAAACACTCAGAAATTTGCTGTTCCAAGTTCAGAGGCTGCTCCAGTCTGTACACAGAGACTCCCCCCAGGGTCAAGGCCAGAACACAAAGGCCTCGAGCTAGAGGTGGGGAAGGGATTCATAGCTGAGAGTTGCCTGAGGAGCTTGGGCTTCAGAGGGAGGTCAGTCTCTGATGATATGGTGTTAATTGCTCATATGCACAGCAGCCAAACCTATACATTCAGTGTTTGGTGGCCTACTCAGAACCTCCTGGAATGCCACCTGCAGACATTAGCTAGAGACCAGAGCAAAGCAACTGCATTCTTTTCTCTTCATGGACTGTCTCCTCTGGCTGGGTGATAGGTGGCCCCACCTGGGGCAACCGGAGGCCTCCAGAAAGCCTGGCCTCTGGCTAATCTCTCTGGTCTGGGGATAACTTCTAGCCCCTCCTATTCTCCAGGCAAAACATTTGTTTATCCAAAATTTCAGCCCAAAGTGAAGTCATTACTAACCACAATTAAAATGTACTGGACTTTCCTAGGTCTGGCTGATTTTTACTCTGTATTTCATAGCCCTACCGCAGGCTCCTCGTCACCTTTCTTCAGTGGCTAATACACTGGGAATCCAGTTGGAGCTGGTTTTGCTTACAGACGCTGTGAGTTCTAGGACTTTAGACATAAGGACCTTATAAGAGACTGTCAAAAGCCTTGCTACCCATCTCATTGGTTCCAACAGGCATCAAGGGCTGACCCTGCACCTCTGGCACTGAGTGTCTGTCTCACTGCCACAGCTTCCTGGCCTCTCTGCAAGGAGCCTTCTGTGGCATCTTCCTGGCAGTGGCTGTCTGGTGGACTGCAGGCCTAACTGCCTCCCTGTGGGAGAACCCAGTTGTTCCCCACCTCCAGTCTCCCAGTGCCCATTCTGTTCACAAGGCAGTGGTGTCCTCCACCAGCAAGGAAGCTGGTGGAAAGAGCTGGACTCCCCTTGTTATGTCCTCCCGGGGCCTCAGCTCTCTCTTGCCAACCACTCAAGCGCCCTCTCCTTGGCTGGGCCCTCCCTGCTACCCGCTGACATGGCACCTGGGTCTTTTCTGTTCTTCCCTCCCTTTGCTCCAAAGATAACTGCAAAAGCCTATGCTGTGGCCCTGTGCTTCCACCTGTTTCCTTCCTTCTAGCAATTTCTGCAGCCTTCAAGTCATAGTCGTCTCTTTGGATCAGACCTTCCGAGAGTTGAGCTCCCTGGAGAGCAGGACAGCTGCATCTTTGGGCAAGCTCCCCATCTTTCTACTGGAGTCATTTATCCTGGCCATCACCCATTGTCCTGGAGTCATTTTCTCTTTTACAGTCACAGACACGTCCCTTGAAGATCCTACTGGCCCCCTCAGTAAAAGGACACTCTCTGCAGAACTAGCCACTGGAGGGAAGGCTGGATCTTCCAGTCCCGACTCCTCTTCTTCCAAGATCCTTCTTGCCCTGGGGACCTTCCATGCTGTGCAGCTCTCCACAGGGCTCTCTCACTGGAGCTTCCCACTGCACCCCCACTAGAAACCAGCTGGAAACCCAACTCGCCCTCCCTGCCTTGAAGGCCAACTGGAAGTGCTAGCACTGTAGACAGGCAGCACTTAAAGACCCCCTCAGGTTCCACCCCCACATCCTGCTCCTCAAGAGTGTGTGTGTGTGTGTGTGTGTGTGTGTGTGTGTGTATGTCTAAGCGGGGAGCACAGGGAGGGACAGTGGCAGAGATCAGAACCCAAGGACTAGAAAAGGCTGAGTTTGCTTCCAGGAAAAGGAATTGGGTGGTGAGAGGGAGTGCGAAGTAAAGCAAGCAGGGGCCAGGGGCCATGTGTGGGCTGTGGGGATTGGAAAGGGAAAAGCAGGGAAATGCTTTAGGGGCCTAGTGCGAGAGAATGAGAGCTGCAGGAATGTAAGAAGAGCTGCTGAGAGTTAGGAGTCAAATCACCTCGAATAGTCTTTGAAAGATGCAATCTTTATTACAGTGGGCTAAGGGGCTGTTTCTCAGGGATCCAGGATTTCTTTGGGGTACACATTCACTCTGGCTCACGAGCTCTAACTTCAGTTGTCTCCGTTACAGGTCAACCACATCCCACCTCAAAACAGCAGGTCTACTGGCAGTACCGAGGGTGCTCACGGGAAGCCGCTGGTGGACATTTTTATCACCCTCCCAAAATCTAGGCGATTCACCTGGGAAGATCCAGCGCTCCCTTCCCCACCGTGTCCTCTCCCAGCATGCACGCGTCGCCCGGCTCACGGCAGACACGCAGGAGCAGCATCTCTGCTACAGGTGCTCACTAAATCCTTCACACCACTGGTTCTCTACCTTGGTTATGCATTGGTAGCTTTCAATAGAATTTAAAAATGACCCTGATGCCCAGGTTACAGTCAAGACTGATTGAATCAGAATCTCAGGATGGGATGCAAGAATCTGTCACTGTTAACCTTCCCCCTCCACCCCCAAGTGATTCCAGTGTGCAGCCAGGGTTAACAACTGTCCTAATTGCAGATTCATCCCATGTTTCATTATCAATCAAACAGGAGCCAGACTCTGACATCAGTACCAAGCACCCACTCACCCGAAGCTGTCCCTCGAAATCTGCCATGAATGCTTAGCCCAAGCCCCCAGCTCCCAGGGAGCTTCCTCAGCACCTCAGCTCAAACACCAACAGAGATCACTTTGGCAAGACATGCCATTGCTATTTGGGGCAGACACAAAACACCAGCCCTCGCATCGTCTAGAAGGCATCTCATGCGCACAGATGAACTACACTGTTCCACTAGCTCACCTGAGGACCCCTGAGCTCTCTGTGGCCACTGCCTCAGGCCCTGCCCCAGCTGTGGCTACTCACAGGCCCCCGTTCTGTTGCCACTTCCCGCAGGGGTTGCCCCCAACTTCCATTTGGCAGGGGCACTGGAGCTGTCTCCTGACTCGAGACTGAGTGAGAACATTTGTCTTCTTCTGCTTGGGAGAGGCCCTGCTGACTCACCCCCATTTTTAAGAGAGTCCTCAGCTCAGGTCTCTGCCAAGGAATGCAGCCCCCCTGTGTCTTCCAGCAGGGTCCCCCACAGAGCACTCCTGCTTGGTGGCTCCATGGAGTCAGCCAGTCAGGCCAGCCCCAGCCCTGCCACCGCCAGGAGGAGGGTGGATTAGGCAGCTGACACTGGAGAGGCCGAGCAGGGGCCTACACTCCCTGGCATGCACGGTGAGTGTGCATCTCAGCAGGCCAGAATTCTGTAATTTTTACACATTGGAAGTCAGATAAAGGTCGTGGAGACGGCTGTGGGGACGTGGGCACCTGCTGTGGCGCTCCAGGGGTGCCTGGGGTCTGGAAGCAGGCACGAAAGGTGGGTCAGAAATACACAAGGAGGACCTTATTTGTTTTCTCTCGCATTCCTGTCCCCCACCCTCAAACGTCTGAGACGCCTGCAAACTGGTTCATTTAAAACACACGCTGTCTGCAGACGCCCGCACAGAAGCCGTGGCTGGCGGCCCTCTCCGCGCTTCAGCCCCGATCTACCGGGCGAGCAGCTGCTCCTAATTACTTCATTCTTGATAACCCGGACGTGCTTTCCCACCATCACTGGTGACTCCATGCTCGCAGCTGAGCTGTAGGCAGACACCTTGGTCCCCAACTCCCGAATATGAGAGTTCCGGCCCTCCGCCCCCCAACCCCGCTTTAGCTCTCAGGAAGTCTGCAGGGACTACGGCCCCCACTTGGCTCTCAGGAGTCTGCAGGGACTACAGGCCCCCACCTTGGCTCTCAAGAGTCTGCCAGGACTACAGGCAGGCTAATCCTCTACAGGCAGCGCTAATCCTTTCCTCTCTTCCCCTCCCACGGTTCCTCTCACCTAGAGTTGGCTGTTCTCTTAATTTTTGCGAGATTCTGAGATGGAAAAGGTGCCCAGATTTCAGAGAAATTTAGAACAAGACACAACAATTGACTGTCAGCGCGGCCGTGTCCGGGCAGCACTGGGGTCTCGGATGGCAACTGGCAGACGGTGGATTGTGAGACACGATGCAGGGTCTCCCTCCGAGCGGCGCCCACGGAGCGGGGCCCAGGCGATGCTGGCCTATCTGGTGGGAGCAAGCGCTGACCTCATGGGACGCAGCCCGTCCCTGAGGCCACAGTGTGACCGAGATCGGGGTGGGAGGACGTGGGAAGAGAAAAAGGCCCAGAACCAGAACCAGGCCCAGAAGTGCGGTAGCACTGAAAAGAACTGAGACTTGAGAGGAGGGGGAAGAGCAGAAGGGAAGCTGGCCCTCGAGGGAGCAGGGAGGTGGCTTGACCAAGAGCAAGGCCTGAAGGTGACTGCCCCGCCTTGGCAGCAGGGACATGGGCTCGTGGGCCTGGGGGCTGGGCCCGGAAGTGGGGTGAGGAAGGCTGCAGTGCCCAGGCAGGGCGGAGACCAGGGAGTGCAGGAGCACCGTCACTGAAGAGGACCGTGGGCTGCAGGATTCCAGGCTGGGGAAGACTTTCTTCAGGGAACTGAATTGCCTCAGAAGGAAGTGGAGGTTTTTGAAGGCGCAGATGACGGTGGGGGGACAGAGTGAGGCTCCCAAGGAGGCAGGGGTGCTGAGACCAGGCTAGAAGAGGGGGTGCTGTGCCCTCCACCCTAACAGAAGGGACAGGGGAAAGGATGTCCCCTGTGCAGGTAGGTCTGTTGTCAGATGTCCTGACAGCTCCCCTGCTGTCTGAGGGCTACGCAGCCTTCCTGGAGTGGAAGGCGCAGCTGCCTCCCAGAAGGGAGGTGAGGAGGAGGCACCAGAACTAGGGGAGTGGAGAGCTAGCCAGCACAGATGGTGGGGCTGGAACAGTCCAGAAGACACAGAAGCCCTGGGCCTTCCCACTGTCTCTGATGCTCACAGGGTGTGGTGGAAAGAGAACACGGCAGTCCCCCAGGAGAACTGAGTTTCTGAGCAGGGAGAGGACAAAAGCCACCTGCAGCGAAAAGCTCAGCGCAGCGGGGAACTTGAGGGTCGTGGAAGAAGGTTTGCAAGGGTGGTCATTCAACAGATATTTATTGAGCAGCCATGTCTGCAAAGTTCTGGGGTAGACACAGTCCCTGCCAACATGGGTTTAGATCCTGGCAGAGGCCTCATGGAAAGGCTGGTGGGGGTGGGGCGGTGGGAGGAGCCGAGGGTGAGGGAAGAGGCCCAGGGACATGAAAGGGCCTGAATCTCAATCAAGACCTCTCCGCTAAAGAGGCCCTAAGTCTGCCTCCCTACCTGGAGGTCCAGGAAGCCATTCACCCTCCGCTCATTCCTCGACCGAGGTGTACTGAACACCTACTGTGTGCTGGGCCTTCAGGTCTGTGGACAGGGCTGGGCAGCAGAATGGAGGAAGCTCAGGGGCCAGGGCTGTGTGTCTGGCCACAAGGTTACAAGGAAGGGGCCAGCAGTTGAGGAGAGAGGCACTAGGGGCTGTCAGAGGTCCAAGAGGGTTCTGGGCTGGTGGGGGGCCTTTCTGGAGAGTGGGAAGGTGGGGCAGCATTTGGAGGGCCCTCCGATGGGACCTGAATTTGAGGATGCTCTATGGGGGCTCTGTTAGAATCCCCAGGGGAGAGTCCTGTGCCAAGCATCCGGAGTGCTCTGCCTCCTCTCGTCCCCCCACTGATAGAGGCATTAAGCTGGGATGTCACAGAGGCCAGAGGAAGGGAAAAAAACTTGTTGAGCCACTGCCTTACGTGGGAGGAGCCCCGGCGGCAACGGGGTTGGCTCCTGGTCCTGCTGCGGCGGTGGCGAACAGTGCATTCCCAGGGACTGGCAGGGCTGGGATGCCGGGGGGTGATGACCTGGGAGGTGGCCTCAACCGCAGGGCTGGGGCATGCCCACAAGCGGCACGCTGTGAGGGGCAAGCGGAAGACTCGGCGAGAGTGAGCTGTTCTCTGTGGTGTGCACAACAGGGAGTTGATCTCATGCTGCATGAGTTGCTTGATGACTGGCGCAGATTGGTGGGGTGGCCCAGCCTGGAGGCACAGCCACTGCGGTTTTCTCTGGGGCAGATGAGGGTCTCCGCAGGGGAGGGCTGCTTCTGATGCTCTCAGCAGGGGGTGGGCAGGCGAGGAGCATGGCCCGGTGCTCGGCTCGGTGGTCTCCATGGGCTTCACAGGCTTTCCAACACAGAACCTCAGACTGAGGGCTGGAAGGGACCTCAGGAGCCACCCAGTCCAACCTTCCACTCTATTCAGATCCCCTCTTTCCCTGGCCAGGTGACAGCCCAGCCTCCATTAACAAACCTCCAGGGACAGAAGGGCCACAACCCCTCAGCCACCTGTTCTGCTGTTGGACAGCTTTAAAGAAGCGCTTTCTCACACGAAGTCAAACTTGCTATAGGGGCCCTGCGGAGGGCGCCATGCCCTCACCTCGCTGCCCTGGCTCTCCCTGGCTGTGATTAACACCCGCCTTGTTGAGGATTAGAGCATAGAAAGAGCACAAGGTAGTGACAGAGGTGTTGGTTAGTCCAGAGAAGAGACGGGGGTCTGGAAGGAAGCACTCTCAGCATTTCAGAACTGACTGCTCAAGGCTCCTGCCTGGTATGGAAGGAGGGCTGGGGTGATCCACAGCTGGCACTGGCACTGTCCTCAGGACAGATCAGGACTCATTGACTCCCCAGGAGCTAGGCAAATCTGAGAGTCCCCTACTGTGGCTGTGCCCCCTGGGACCTGACCTGGGGGACGCAGGAGTCCTGGGTCGAACTTCCGGGCCACTCACCGAGTTTTCAGCATCTGAGTCTTCTGAGCTGCTGATCACCACGATGCGCTCCTCTGAAATGGGGCAGGGAGATAGTGTAAGGCCCTGACAGGTGTGCCTGCTGCGTGGGGCCCCAGGCTCTGCAGGAAAATCTTTGCAGGCCAGTGGACTGGATGATGTGAGCCCACCAAGGGGGACCTGCGGTGCGTGCCAGCATGTGTCTGTGTGGAGAGGTTATTCAAGTGGCTTTAAAGAAACTGCACTCCTATGTTTACTGCAGCACTATTTACAACAGCCAAGGAATTAAAACAAACCAAATGCCACAACACAGATGAATGGATCAAAAAGTTGTGGAATATTACTGAGCGATAAAAAAGACAAACTCATGCTATTTGCTGCAACATGGATGAAGCTGAAAGGGATTATGCTAAGCAAATAAGGCAGAAGGAAAAAGGTGAATATCAGATGGTTTCACTTATAGGAGGAATATGAGAAACTGAAAAAAAAAAGTCAAGAAAAAAGACAAAACTTGCAAGCTGACCATAGATCTGAGGCCCACAGCAGGGGAGAGGGAGGGGTCAAAACACGGGAGGGAAGAGCACAAGGGACTGTGGTGGTGGAAGAACTACAGGGACTATACCTGAGGGGAAAAATCAAATACTGTACAAAAATGAACACTGATGGAGGAAAATTTAAAAATTAAAAAAAGTGGCTTTCCATGCCTGGTCTGTGAATACTTAATTGAGCTGTTGGCCCAGAATTCAGAATTTTATTCCCAATAGAGGAGCTCTGACAAGTGCCCCTGGAGGACAGTGTACAGGTCTCGGCCCCTACTGCCCACCCACCTCCCTACCTGTCTCCCCAGCTTCGCTGGTCACGTGGTTGCTGTTGGGCAGGAGGACCTCACTTCCCACGACAGGGTTATTGGGTCGGGGAGGCCCTTCCAGGTGGGGTGGTGAGATTGCCTTGGAGGTGCTTGGCCTGGGCTGCTCGGGGGAACTCCAGGCCATCCTTGCCTCTCTCTCTTCCTCAGACTCCATCTTGACGAACTTGCTGGGGCACTCAGTCTGGCAGGACTTCCTCTTCTGTGGTGTAGAGACCTCCTGTGCAGTGGAGAGTCACGGGTCTAGGTCAGAAGCCTCCAAGGGCACCGGGGTGGTGGGCAGAGACCGGGCTTAGGTGGTGGGGCCTTCAGCCTCCCCTTGGCTCCTATGGGTTCTCTGCTCTCTGTCATGTCAAACAGGCCTTTCTCTACTCAGAGAGCCCACCCAGGTCACATGCACACTGAGCCTACCTGCTGATCTCTGCTGGCTGGCCTCACTGCCGTGGAGGGGAGCTTCCTGACAGGGCAGCCACCAGACAGGAAGAACGATGAGCAAGTAATGATTGAGGCCTGGATTCTTACCCCAGCTCTACCTCTTACTGCCTGGTGGAACCTGGGCACTCAAAAAAGGGAGGCAGGGGCTAGGGAGAACCTTACCTCTCTAGAGGAGGGATCTTTGATGGAGTAGGCATACAGCGGGACAGGGTATGCCCCGGGCACTGACTGTACCACAGCCACAGGTTGGGCCTCAGCCAGTTCTGAGGGCTGCACCTGTACCCCCTGCACCTTCTCGGGCTGCAAAGTCAAGAAACAAGAGTCAGAAATGACTGGTCAGCATGCCCAGGGTTGGCATCAGCCCAACCGCAGGACCTCACCCAGCCACAGGTGCAGGCTGCCCACTCCAAGCCCAGAGCCCACTGGCAACCAGGAGTCCTGCCCACACCCTCCATGACTTCACCTCCTTTGACACTGAGGTCCTGGCACCCAGCAGCCACCTTGATTCCTGCGCGTCCTAACAGGACCTCAGGGATGACCTCAGGGATCACACTGCCCAGCACTTCCTTCGGGCTTGTTAGGCAACTAGCCCCCACCTACACACTTCCAGGAATGAAGTGCTCATCGCTGACTTGGGGCATCCCAAAGTCGTCCCATGGAGGAAATCTTCCCACTGAGCTGCAGCCGGTCTCCCTGTGACCTTCCCTCTGAACCCTGCCTGGGTCAGAACTGTGATTACACACCCTGAACAAATCACTTCAAACTGCTCAGTTCTCAGCCGCCCTCTGTGAAATGGAATAATATCAACCTCACAGGGTAATGGGGGAGAACTGTGTTCCTTCGAGTAATTGCCTGGGGGGACAGCTAGCACTGTACACACCACTGATGATGATGATGACGACATTTTCTTTCCTTTTTAAAAAAAGATTTATTTTTACTTATTTATGCATACAAGAGCTGGAGTGCAGGACAGAGGTGCAGGGGTGGGAGAATTCACCAAAGACAGAGTGGGGAGAAGAATAGGCAGACTGACTGAAATCCACTGCTGAGGGGAGCAGCGGGCGAGACAGGGGGGGTCCACTGCACCATGTGGGTAGCTCCCTGGCCGGGGATCGAACTCATGCCCAGTGGCTGGCAATAGCTTGATAGCGCTAAGACTTTAACCCCTGCGCCACCAGGGAGGCCCTGATGATGATTCTCTTTTTCACTAGTCTGCGCCAGGTAAGCTGAGTGCTTCAGGCACCTATCCCAAAAGGAAGCAGAGGCAGTTCGTCAGAAAGTAGAATTTTCATGTGCTCCAACAATTCTACTCCATATGTACCCCAAAGAACTAAAAACAAATGTTAGACAAAAACTTGAACATGAACAAATGTTCACAGCAGCTCTATTCAAAATGGCCAAGAGGTGGAAACAACCCAAATAGCTATCATCTGATGAAAGGACACACAGAATGTGGTGTGGCCATAGGCTGGAATATTATTCAGCCATAAAAAAGGAGTGAAGTTCTGACACATGCAACATGGACGAACCTTGAACACATTATACTAAGTAAAAATAAGTCGCCAAAGATTATATATTGTATGATTTCATTTATATGAAAAACCCATTTTCACTTACATGAAAAATGGGGAGACAGAAAGCAAATTAGGGCATGGGAGTGGTGGAAATGAGGGGTGACTGCTCCATGGGTATAGGGTTTCCTTTTGGAGTACTGAAAATATTCTAGAAGTAGATAGGTGGGATGTATTAAATGCCACAAAATTATAGATAGCTTGTGAATGTATTAAATGCCATAAAATTGTATACTTTAAAATGATTAAAATGATAAATTTTCTTACGTGAATTTTACCATCATAAAAAGAAGTTAGAGTGAGAAAAAGAAAAAGTACGGTCCATACTATGATTACAGATGACCCTTGAACAACACAGGTTGGAACACAAGGGCCGACTGATACACAGATTTTTTTCAATAAATACAGTTGGCCCTCCCTAGCCTCAGGTTTTGCATTTACAGATTTAACCAAGCGTGGATGGTGAAGAGCTGACTATAAGGAAGTTGGGTATGTGAAGCAGGTCTTGAAACCAGCCCCTGAGCTGATGGTGCCCTTGGTGGATACCAAGGAATGATTGTAGTTTTGAGGGAGCCAAAAGTTATAGCTGGATTTTTGACTGTGTAGAGTTTGGTACCCCAACCCCATGAATGAATGGGGCTCATTGTCCAAGGGCCAACGCTATTGTCAGTTTTCATGCAAGGAGACTGAGGCACAGCAAGATGACATGATTTTCTAAAACCACATACTTAAAAAGGGTCTGTGCTAGGTTTCAAATCCACTCCTTTTTTTAGTACCTCTCTCCTTTACATCCTGCCTCACCATCTTTATTGTGTGAAACTGAAGTGTGTGTTCGGCCATTTGCTAAAAATAAGTAATGTGGGAAGCGTCCTTCCAAAAGGGGAGGCCCAGCCTTCAGGGGCTCGGCTCTGCTGTGTCCTCCACTCCTGACCCATTGGTGTCTCAAAATCCCTGTGCATGCAGTGCATGGTCCATTAGGAGCCTATGGGCTGTCCATGCAGGGAAGAAAGAGAACCCAACACAGTCAGGTCTTTGCCAAGCAGAGTTTCAGGGGGAAAGTCAGGTGCCAGACTGCGAGTGAGACCAGGGGTATGCACTCCTCCTGGGAGAAGCGCTGTCCCTAAGTGACAGGGGGCGTGGTCAGGTCCACCCTCACTGGGGGTACAGTAGGGATCACCTGGCCAAGGCCATGCTGGGGTGGGCAGAGAAAGCTCAGCACAGATGGTCCATGTGGGACACTGGGAATCGAAGTGGGCAGAGGGCTCTTGGCATAGAATTTTGAAGTGGAATGTTGGGTTCCCACATCATTTGCTGTAATGCTCTGACTTCCTTCTCCCCCACCCTGGTCCGGGGCTTCTTTTTCTCAAAATCTTTACAAAAAGAGGGGAAAGCAGCCTCTCTGCCTGTCTAGGGGAGGAGAATGAGCAGATAATTCCCTAAGTTCCTACAAAAGTACACACTCTCCATGGTGCTCTCTGTGCTGGTGTCTTCAAACTATAGTTTGTGACCCACTAGCGATCAGGAAAACCATCTAGTGGGCCGTGAGCAGCATTTTTTATATTCTACAGAATAGTATGTAGAATAAACAATATGAGAGTACACCTCATGTAATAAGTGAAATTTGTTTTACGAAAACAAATTTAAAGCTTAAATTTGTCTTAAAGCTACAGGTGTTCATTTGTGTGTATGTGTACACGCTGTAGGTTAGATATGAAAGATATATTTTGTAATGGGTGGTGGTCAAAAATGCTTCAACTGTACACCACTGGTGGGAATGTAGAATGGTGTAGGTGCTATGGAAAATTGCACTATAGTTCCTCCAAAAATTAAAATAGACACACAGAGAGATGACCACCTGAGGACGCAGGGAGGAGACGGCCATCTACAAACCAAGGAAGGAGGCCTCAGAGAGGCCAGTCTTGCTGCCACCTTGATGTTACACTTGCAATCTCCAGGACTGAGAAAGTAAATGTCTGTTTTGTTTTGTTTACTTAAAAACAGAATTACTTCAAAATGGCTATCCTACCAAAAGCAATTTACATATTCAATGCCATTTCAATAAAAATTTCAACGACATTCTTCAAAGAAATAGAACAAATGTTGATGAAATTCATATGGAGCCACCAAAAACCCCAAATAGCCAAAGCTCTCCTGAAAAAAAAGAAAAAGAAGGGAACGGAGGCATCACATGCCCAGATTTCAAACTATACTACAAAGCCATAATAATCAAAACTGCATAGTAATGGAACAAGAACAGACACACAGACCAATGGAACCAAATAGAAAATCCAGAAATAAATCCACAGATTTATGGTCAACTAATCTTTGACAAAGGAGCAAAGAATATGCACTGGAGCAAAGAAAGTTTGTTCAATAAATGGTGCTGGGAAAACAGGGTCACTACATGCAAAAGAATGAAACTTGACTACTACCTCACATCATGCACAAAAACCAACTCAAAATGGATTAAAGAACTAGACATAAGACCTGAAACCATAAAATATATAGAGGGAAATATAGGCGAAACACTACATGACATGCACCTTAAAGACATCCTTACAGACACATCACCCAAAGCAGTGATAGTGAAGGCAAAGATAAACAGCTGGGACTACATCAAATTAAAGAGCTTCTGCACAGCAAAAGAGACGATAACCAAAACAAAGAGAAACCCCACCAACTGGGAGAACATTTTTGCACACAACACTAATGATAAAGGACTGATCATAAAAATCTACAAAGAGCTGATGAGACTCAACAAAAACAAAGAAAATAATCCAGTCAAAGAATGGGCAGAAGAGTTAAAAAGAAACTTCTACAAAGAGGAAATGCAAATGGCCAAGAGGCATATGAAAAAATGTTCAACATCATTTGTAATCAGGGAAATGCAAATCAAAACTACCATGAGATACCATCTCACACCAGTGAGAATGGCACATATTAAAAAAACTAGCAACAACAAATGTTGGCGAGGATGTGGAGAAAAAGGAACTCTCCTGCACGGTTGGTGGGAGTGCAAACTGGTCCAACCACTATGGAGAGCTGTGTGGAGATTTCTTGACCTACGAAACATACAGCTTCCATATGATCCAGCAATTCCACTCCTAGGTATTTACCCAAAGGACACAGAAACATCAATTCCAAAGAGCACCTGCATCCCTATGTTTATAGCAGCACTATTTACAATAGCTAAGCTTTGGAAACAGCCCAAATGCCCAAAAATAGATGACTGGATCAAGAAGATGTGGCCCATATACACAATGGAATATTACTCAGCATTCAAAAAAGATAAACTCATGCAATTTGCAGCAAGATGGATGGAGCTGGAAGGGATCATGCTCAGCGAAATAAGCCAGAAAGAAAAAGAAAAATATTGGATGGTCTCACTCATAGCAGGAATTTAGAAAATCCAAATAAGGGACCAGGAAAAAGACTAATTATAATAAAGTAGAAATCAAAATCAACAAGCAACTATAAACCAGAGACATACTATGGGGTTGGAGGGGAGGAGAGAAGGGATTAGGGTCAAAATAAGGGGGGTGCAATTGTATGGGGAATATAACCAAAATGAAAATGCATACATTGTGCAAAAATGAAAAATGATGCAAGAATTATATAAAATAGAATATATTAAACATAAAAAAATTAAAATGAACAATTATGTAAAAAAAATTTAAAAAGTTAGAAAAAAGAACTCATGATAAAGCTTTCTGTACAAAAACAAAAACAAAAACAAAAAAAAACAGAATTACTATCTGCTGGCTCTGCAAACTGCTGGCATGTAAGACCCGCTTTCCATTTCGGCCACGAACATCCCAAAGGCAGGGCTGGGCTCCTCTCTGCCCATCCCATCCTTCCTGACACCCCACGAAAACAAAGGAGGGGACACACATGAGTGTTCAATAAAGAAAAAAATCATGCTGATTGACTTATAGTTGTTTTGTAGCTTTAAATTTTTCATTTTTTCATTAAAGGACTGTAACATCATTACAAAAGAGTCTGTGGGAAACAGGGGAGGATGCCGAACCGTGGCCATACTCAAGCTTCCTAGTTTCTCCTGTTGTGTTTTCGCCTCCTCTCCTCGTAGGCACACAGTTGCCATGAGAGTAAACCAACAGGGCCTCCCTGGTGGCACAGCGGGTTGATCGCAGCACTGAGAAGCTGTCCTCAGCCTCTGCAGCAAGAGTTCGATTGCCGGCCAGGGAGCAACCCACATGGTGCGGCAGACCTCTCCTGTCTCGCCCACTGCTCCCCTCAGCAGTGTATTTCAGTCAGTCTGCCTGTTCTGTTCTCCCCTCTGTCTCCGGTGAATCCTCTCACCCTCCCGCACCTCTGGCCTGTACCCCAGTTCTTGAATAAATAAATCTTAAAAAAAAAAAAAAAAGTAAACCAATAATTTCAAGAGGGATAACTGTGGGCACTAGGAGTCCAGAAGCAGGAACACGGATTGCCTTTCTCCTGGCACAGCCTTGGGACAGCGGGACCAGCCTGCCCCACTGTCACTCCACACCTGTCCTATGCTCCCATCCCCGGCTCGACTCATCCATTTCCCTCACCCCAGCCAATTCCCAAAGTGAGAGCAAAAGGCTTTGTAAAAAGAGCATCCTTCTCATACTCTAAGTTCAAAGTGCTTAGCAGCAGATAGTGAGTGGTCATAGCAAGACAAAGACCTGGCAAAATGCCCAGATCTTAAACAAGGCAGTACGGGCACTCGCTGTGCATTAACCAGCAACTGGCACCCAAAAGACAGATGTGATCTGTGGGGGCACTTTCCACATTATTGATATGACTTCTTTGGAGATGTCATTCACGCTAATGCTGTAATACCAAAAAACCTAAATATGCATCGACAAGGAACTGGCTAAATAAAGCGTGCCCCATCCATGCAAAAAGGCATCAGGATGTTCCCTGTCTACTGAATGAGTAAGAAGTAAGAATTCCAGAATAATTTCTCCAGTGAGAAAGCCCAGGGCACAATACTACGACTATATGATATGGTGCTACCTCTGTGCAAAAAATAATTAAATAATTAATAAATAAAAAGAAAAGCAATTATCTATAATCATATTTGCTTGTAATTGTGTAAAGAAATTCTAGAAAGGGATGTAAGAAATTAATAAAGATAGGAATGTGGGCATAATTGGACAGATGAGGAGCAAGGTAGGAGCGAGACATTCTGTTTTCATTTCTGACTATGCGATTCTAGTACTGATCTATAAAGTAAATGTCCTTTTTCACTTTGCAGGTGTGTGTATAGGGGGTACAGTACCTGAGGAGGTTAGGATTTGGCTTCTTGCCCTGCCCCTACCTTACTACGTGACCCTCTCTTTGAACTGAAGCTTCATTCTCTGTAGAAAAGGAGGTTACACTCCACGCTCTCTCCTGCTTCTGCCCCTCTCCTCATCACTTCATCTGCAGCAATCTCTCCCCTATGGGTCACGCCTTGTGACCCTAGGAAGGCTTACCCTCCCTGACTGCCCCCATCAGCAGCTTTGCTTTCCAGAGGACTGGCTCGTCCTGGGTGCAGAGCCTCGGCGGGTAGGCACAGATAAACCTGATGACCAGAATGGGGAGGAGACCAAGGCCTACTTGAGGGAAGAACTGAGAACTGAGAACTATCCTGGCAGAGAAAGAGTCGGGCATGCCAGCACCCACAGGGCACATCAGAGGGGTGCCACTGCACCTCCCCCAGGGGAGCATTCTAAGAGCAGTCCAGAGATGGGAGTGTGTGCCTCAAGAATGAGCGAACTTCCTGTCCCTAGAGGTGTCCGCATGACAGCCAAACAGCCACAGGCCAGAGGTGCTGCAGGAAATGCCAACCTCAGAAGGGACATAGGTGTCTTCCAGCCCTGAGAAACGATGGCTCTGGCATGCCGGCCCTGAAATAGGCTGGGAACCCCGGCTGCTAGGATTGAGGTCTGACTCCTGGGCCCATTCTCCCTTCTCTCCAAGAATCATGTGTAGGGAAGGTCTACACGTTGACCCCAAGGAAAGGCTCACATATCTGGGGGGAAGTGCAGAGCAGGGAGAGGTCAACTGCCACATCCATGAGGTTTGCTGCCAGTGATCACCTCCGCTGCCTCACATCCACCCTAGGCCTAAGCCCTCTCGGACCCATTAAGAGCTGCCCTGGCATTTAGGAGCCCAGAGCCAGCCCATTACCTTCCTCTACTCCCTCCCACAGAAAGTTTCAGTCCGACCACCTCCAGTTTCCTTCCTGACACTGGAACTCCCAACCTCTGCCCACCCCAGCCGCCCCCACCCCCATGACAACCTGCTGGACCACACTGCCTCCCCTTTAGACCTCAAACCCATCTCACCAGGTCAATGTCATTAAAGTTCTTGGCGGCGCTGGCCATCTCTGGGCTGGTTTGCTTCGGTAGAGCTGCATCTGAAGAACACAGACAAGGTCATAGGCAGGTCAGGGACATCTAGCGAGTGGTATTCTGGCCTGGGTCAGTTGACAGAGGGAACAGCCCTATTGTTTTTCTGGGATGTCATGGACAGCTGAGGCAAAAGGATGAGGGCATGAGTCTTGAGAAGTTCAAAAGACAGCTGGGGAGAGAGATTCTAGATCTGCTCTGCTCTCTTCAGCAAAACCACAGCTTTTGTTAGCAGGAACAACAAAATTATAGAGTAAGATACAGGTTAAGTGGAACTACCGAGCAGTGATTCATTTTCGTATTGCTTAGTATTCAGCATTATTCTGGCACACATTCACCGCCAAGGCCCTGCGTCGTCAGGATGTTCTATTCTCTTTTCTAATCTAGTGTATTCCAGAGGCATAGTTTCACTGACACCAGAGAGAGCATGATAAGCTGGACACGGGCCAGTCTTCCGGTCCAGGCTGACCAGTCTTCCGGCCATGACCCTGACATTTTCCTTATCTCATCACTGCAGGCTCCCGGGTTCTCCAACACCTGGAGACCTGTTCTCCAGGTCTTCTCCCGGCACTGAGGCAGCTCCGTGGAGAGGCTGGCGTTAGAAGGAATCTCACTGACTACAATGGACATGAACCCCACCAGGAGGAAGAGGTGGGTGGCATCGGAGGGCAAAAAGAGCATCCTGCTGGGCGCACACCAGCAGGCAGTGTGAGCAACACTAAGTCATGTCAACTCACTGGCCACGAGTGCAGTGGGAGTTCCACCATACTCTTCTTACCTGCAGTCCGGTTTTTATTAAATCTAATCTAAATCTCTCACACTTGAGATAAAATAACTCCTTTCTCTGCTGCTGTCTGGTTATAACACCCAAGGCAAGCTGTCTAAACTCTGTGGGATCATTCCTACATGTGGGGTGACACTCACTGCCTTGGCGCAGAAGGTCGAAGTCCAGGCCCACTCCAGGATTATACTTTTATGAACCTATAACCATCATCGCCAAGGGCAGGAATGAGCAGGCCTTTCACCACTGGCACCTTCAGATGTTGTGGCCTCCCTTCCCTTTCTCACTAAGTGCATCCAGAGTCAGACCCCAGAGCTGCCCAGAGCTAAGATTCCAGCCTAAAGATTTCCTCAAGAAGCAGTTAAAGCCTCCACACCCTGGAGCCCCCGACTCCCCCCCCCCCCCCCCCCCCGATTTCTCTTGGTGTCTCCAGAGCTGCTGCAACTTCCGGATGAGGACTTCAGGACCAAGCAAGCACCACCTCACTCTCCAGCTGTGCTGCCACCACCTTGCCTCCCGGGCAGACCCGACAACGCCTGCAGTCAGAAGCACGTCTGCGCTCTCACTTCCCAGGCCCAAGACCAGACAAGACCCACAAAGTTTGGCAGCTGGTCCCGGTGGCAGGCCACCCTGAGGGCATCGGAACATGTCGCTGAGTCAGATGCGGTTGGAGGAAAGTACCTAACACTACAGGCGGTTTCTCAGCCCTCTCCACGCAACCCACTGACTTTTCCACGCTCAGCACAGGCGCTTAAGAGAATTTCCAGCTGTGGCTGGAACCCTGTGGGGCTACAATGATATGGTCTGGTTCAGCTTCATAATTTCTTAACCTCCTCAAGGATCACAGCTTATTCATAGGGTCTGGGAAATTAGTGAAGTGGGCGGTCTCATCTCATGCCCTGTAACCTGAGGTATGATCAAACCTGGGACTTAACAAAATGCCCCCAGTTTCTCCTTCTGTCAAATGGACATCATCTTCTCTGCCCTGTGGGGACCCAGCAGCCAGGCACATGCCCATTAACGCTAGCCAGGCCGGGAGAGTGGCTGAGGCCTTACCTGTTCGTTGGATGATGCAAGAAACAAGATCTTGCAGGTACACCTTCAACTCCTCGAAGCTGTCGGTGTGCACCGCAGCTTGCAGGTCTGGGGGTTGCTCCTGCCGCAGGGAGGTGAGGGCCTCACGCAGGAAGCCATGCATGTCCAGCACCTCCTGGTCCGAGGCGAAGCACCTCATCTTCTGCACGAGCACACTGCCCGTGCGGATGCGCTGCAGCACTGCACCCAGGTGGCGCAGGTGGCCAGCCAGCTGTTCATAGCTGTGTTGGTAGCGTTCATTGACCGCCTTCAGCAGCTCTTGCTCCTGCGCCCGCACGTGCTCTACTACCTGGTCCATGCGTGAGCGGATCAGCTTCTCAGCGTCCTTGCGCATGTGTCCCAGCTGACTGACAGCCGATTGCATCTTCGCCTGCGCCACCCCGAAGGCTGCATCCTGCTCCTGCAGTGCCTGCGTCATGGCATCCAGCTCCTCCTGCCTCTGCTGGATCTCCAGGCTGATGTCGCACCTCAGCTTGTTGTGGTCCTCATCGTCCAGGACCGCGCATGAGCAGCAGAGCGGCTTGGAGCAGCCTCGGCAGTAGATGCTGTGGACACACAAGGCCAATCTAATTTAGGGCTTTCTTGCTTTTTTCCCCTTGAAATTTTCGTCCTTTGATTCCACTGCATAAGTGACAAAGCTTGGAATCATGGATGTTTCTAGCCTCATGCTTTCCCCAGTTCAGTGTTTGTGGTTATGGTGATAGTATCCAAACGACCAGTGAAACATGACAGTATTAAAAAGTTACTATCGGGCCTCTCTGGTGGCGCAGCAGTTGTGCGCTGGGCTGCGAAGCTGCCCGCGGCCTCTGCAGCGCTGGTTCGATCCCGGCCGCCAGCAAGGGTTCCACATGGCACACAGACCCCTCCTGCCGCCTGCTGCTCCCCTGTATTTCGTCAGTCTGCCTGTTCTGTTCCCCGCTCTGGCTCTGGTGAATTCTCTCACCCTCCCGCGCTTCTGACTGTACCCAGTGCTTGTTTAAATAAATAAATAAATCTTAAATAAATAAATAAAAAGTTACTATCCCCAGTCCTCCGTAAAACAATGCAAAGATAGACAAAAAGAAAGCTAAGCATCTCTTCTAGCCACTTCTGAGTTTCCATTCACTACCAAAGAGGTAATGAGGTCAGCATCCTGGGTACCGCCTCACAATCTGTCTCCAACCTAATCACCTTCTGCAAGTATCTGTACTATGAGGCTGCCTGCAGGATTTTTTTTTTTAAAGATTTGTTTACGCATGCAAGAGCTGGGGTACAGGCCAGAGGTGCAGGGGGGTGAGAGAATCCACCAGAGACAGAGTGGGGAACAGAACAGGCAGACCAACTGAAACATACTGCTGAGGGGAGCAGCAGGCAAGACAGGAGAGGCAAGCCCCGCCATGTGTGTTTCTCCCTGACTGGCCGGGAATTGAACCCGCGCTGCAGAACTGCAGGCTGCCTCACAGTACGGCACTCAACCCCCTGTGCCACCAGGGAGGCCCTACCTGCAGGATTCTGTGGACTGGAAACATTTCATCCCGCTTAACCCTCTTGAGAGTCTGCTAGGGGAGAATTATTATTATATTTGTTTCACAGATGAAGAAACTGAAACATCCAGGAGTAAGATAATTAATTGAAATGACTACAATAATTTCGAGGGGAACTGATGCTTGTTCTTAAAAAAAAAAAATGAGGTCATGCTATACCATAACTTTGTAATTCTTCTAATTTAACTTTCCTCCCCTAGGTTTGTAATTTAGATCGAATGTATTCTCTGTAATAATGCTATTATATTCCACATGGAGCATAATTGATTCAGTCAGACTCTTGTTAATGGACATTCCAGTAATATCTTATTTGTACATTCTTCTCCCCTTGCTTATCCCTCTACCCCAATATGGACAATACTTTATGCAGCTTAATGTGTGGATGCTTTTGTTTCTATGAAATCGATTACAAATAATTGGGATTGCTAGATCAGTGTGTTTATAGTTTATTATTTTTATTTAATATATTTTAGCTAGCAAGTACTTCTGCAACATTTACTGTAACAGGCACTATTATAAACATTTGACTAATATTTAACTCATTTAATCCTCCTAACAATTCTATGGTCTAGGAAATATATTCCCATTTTAAGGATGGGGAAACTGAACAAGAAGTAAAATAACTTATCTGAGCTCACGCAATTAGTAAGTGGTCAAGTCCAGATAGAAATGATAATAGGCGAAATAATGGCCCCATCCATGTACTAATTCCTAGTACCTGTGAATGTTACCTTATATGGCAAAAAGGACTTTGCAGGTGTGAATGAATTAAGGCTTTTGTGATAGGGGGATGGGATTTTTCTGGAATATCTGAGTGGACCTAATACGATCACAAGTGTCCTTATAAAGGGAAGAGGGGAAGGCAGGAGAGTGCAAGAAAGAAGATGTGCTGATGAAAGCAGGGGTCAGGGTGATGCTATCCTCCAGCCTTGAAGGTGGTAGGTGGTCATGAACCAGGGAATGTGGGCAGCCTCGAGAAGCTTGAAAGGCAACAAATATCACTTCTAAAAGGAACACAGACCCCCTGACATCTTTATTTTATTTCAGTGAGACCCATTTTAGATTTCTTACCTTGAGAGCTATACAATAATATGCCTTATTTTAAGCCACTAAATGTGTGGTAGTTTGTTGCATCAGCACTAGGAAACGAACATAAAAACCCAGGCAGTCTGACTCCGAGTCCATGCTTTTACCCACTGCAGTGTTTCCAAATATTACAGGAAAAATAGTGTTAGTTTGCTGCACCGCCCCCTGCCGTGACCTTTAGGGCTAATGGCTGTTGCCATCATCCCTGAGGTCAGGCATGGGCAAGAAACCATGCGTGCAGGGGGAGAACAGCAAACTCCCTAAGATACAGATAAGCCGGATGCCTGTTAAGAGATACCAGAAGCCGCCACAAAGATTGTTAAAAGGAATGCTGCCCACACGGAATCTTATCTCGCTTTCTCAAGGCCCACAAACTTTATTCTACTACAACTGTCTTTCTAAAACCTTTTCTTTTTCCCAGTCTAAAAAGGTCATTGGTTGCTAATTAAAAAACATACGTAATTTAATAACTAGGCTAATTCAAATGAAACATTACTAAACTCTGTGTAATAATGGAATTGTTAGTTGAATGATTTCTCTGTTGTGTGCTTGGCTTCGTTAGCTTTAATCTTAATGAAAAGATATTATTTTGTAAAGAGTAAATTCACCCATGCTAATTAATAATGATTTAGTGGTAGTGGGTAGTTATTAAAACAAAAAAGTAATTATATAGAACAAAAGAAAAATTAATAGCCTGACTACTTAGGAATATAACTAGGTCCAGATGTAACTTCGGACATAGATCACTGCCCTGTCAATGATAAGCTAAACCTATGAGCAAGCTGATTTCGTTCACTGATGTTCGCCATTCCTATGCTTTTAGAGAACATATATATACTGGCCACCGACTCAAAGAAAATTACACTCAGATTTTCACTCTCTTGAAGTGTGTCTGTGTGTCATTTATTCGCCTAATCCTTGACCACTCTGCGCGATCTCTCAACCCTGAGACGGCCTCATCATCCACTGCTGTGCTGGTCCGCGGCATTAGTTCCTTCCTCAGAAATCCCGCTGTAATTTACTCCCACCAGCAGCCATAATAGGAAGTCAGCCCTCCTGAGGCCAGGAGAAAGGAACTTAGCTGGGGCCACTTTACCCTCAATTACTGAGATCAGCCAGTCCCAGAACTGCCAACAGAGAGTCTGCTGACCGACCAGACTCCAAAATCATAGCGCTGGTCCTCAGCTTCATGAACTCGGCACTGCCAGGTTCCTCAAGGTGGTAAGACCTCAGGGATGGATCCTCCTGATCAGGTAGATTTATTCCTGGAGACCCCAGGGTATGGGAAAGCAGGGTGGTGCAGCTAATGGATCGTGTGATTCAGCAACTCCAGCCTCAGGAAATCTGATCTAAGTACCAGAGACCCATCACCCCAAGGCAGGGCCTGTGACAGAGGTAAGCTGCAGCTGAAGTAGGCACAAGCTGGGCAGATGTGGAGCCAGCCTCAGCTCTGTGCCTTTGGTAGGTGATTTAACTTCTTTGCATCTCTATCTCCAGATGAACAAAATAACAACCATAGAATACCACAGTCCATAATAGCAAAAAAAAAAAAAATAGTAACAACATAAGTGTCCATCACTAGGCAGTAAGCTACATAAGTTATGCTGTACTTATGCAAAGGAATACTATGCAGCTATAAAAAAACAGAAGTTCTTTATACAGAAAAAATCTCCATGGCAAAATGAGGATAATTATAGGAGTATTAAAAAATTAAAGAAGTTAATGTAGATAAAGTTAGAATAATTAGCATATAATATGTTCAATATTTGTATTAGTATGATGAGTAAGGAAAAAAAAATCAAGACGTAGAGTATACGAATAGGATGCTACCTTTTATGTCACAACAGAGAAAAAGGGAGCAAAGGGTGGAGGGGGGCCAATGATCTATAGGAGAGGATTATGGATGCCTTGGTGGTAGGTGTGATGTAATATACCTCTGAAGAGGTGTGACTCTATGCTGCTAAATCACACATGGATTGTATATCCATGTTAACTCAATAATATTTTTTTAAATGTAGAAAATAGGAATGTATTCACTTTTTATTGTATTTGTATGTAGAAATCTTAGGACACACAAATTAATAAAAGTAGTTATGGGAAGAGGCAGGACAGCAATGAAGTGAGACATTTCATTGACTGCCTTTTGGATGAATTTGGTGTTTGAACCTTGTGACTGTATTATCATTTCTTAAATTAAAGAACAAACTACTCATAAGTATAGCTTGTAGACAATTGCAGTTGACCCTTGAACGACCATGGCAGTCAGAGGCCTCAAACCCTTGCAATCAAAAAGCCATGTAAAATTTTTAACTCCCCCCAAATTTAATAGCCTACTGTTGACTGAAAGTCTTACTGATGTTATATGTATCAGATCTGTATTCTTACAATAAGGTAAGCTACAGAAAATGTTATTAAGAAAATCATAAGGAAGAAAGAGAAAATACACATACAGTACTATACTATGTCTATTGATACCAGAAGATTCCATTATCTGTTACTAAGAAATTCATATGTAAGTGGACCCATACAGTTGAACATACATGTGTTCAAGGGTCCACTGTAAATAGGGTAGAAATAAAGGGAGAATTTAGAGCCCATTATCATTTCCCCTGCTTTGGACCCATGGGAGAGAGGGCCTGAAGTTGGCCCCTTTCCTTAGGAAAAGTGCTTTCAGTCTAGGAAGGGCACATGAAGGGCAGCCTGGCAGGAAGGAGAATAAGACTTTCTGGGTTGGCCGCTCTCTCTAGTGGGCCATATTTCTAAGCTCTCTCTGCTGCAAATGGGGTCTCCCATTTGGTCTCTAGGAAACCAGCCCCCTCTGGGAATGGACAATAGCAACAGGTGAGTCGGTTAGCCTGAATCAGATCCCCTGATGTGAAAGTCTTCTGATGAAACTGGTGCAGACCCTGAATGGGAGTGACCCATTCTCCGGAGGA